CCTATCTGTACCATTTTCTCAACAGCATGTTTTCACTTTGCATCTCTCTGGTCACATTTTGATAATTCTCACAATATTTAAAACTTTTTCTTGTTGTTATATATGTCATGGTGATCTGTCATCAGTGATCTTTGATATTACTATTGTGACTGTTTTGGGGTATCATGAATTGTGCCCACATTAGCCAGTGAAGTGAATTGTTCATTGTGTTCTGACTGCTTTACAGACTGGCTGTTCCCCCATCTCGTCTGCCTTTCCTTGAGCTTCTCTGTTCCTTGAGACACAACAATATTGAAATTAGGCAAAATAATAACCCCATTATAGCTTCTAAATATTCAGCTGCAAGGAAAAGTTACAGGTCTCTTACTTTAAATCAAAAGCTAGAAAAGATTAAGCTTAGTGAGGAAGGCATGTTGAAAGCCAAGGTAGTTTGAAAGCTTTGCCTCTTGTGCCAGTTCACCAAGTTGTGAATGTAAAAGGAAAAGTTCTCGAAGGAAATTAAAAGTGCCACTCCAGTGAACACATGAATAATAAGAACACAAAGTAGCCTGCTATAGTTTGGCTGTGTCCCCACCCAAATCTCATCTTGAGTTATAGTTCCCATATTCCCCATATGTCATGGGAGGGACCCAGTGGGAGATAATTCATTCATGGAGGCAGTTACCCCCATGGTGTTCTTGTGATAGTGAGTGAGTTCTCATGAGATCTAATGGTTTTATAAGGGGCTTCCCCCCCCCCCACTCCCGCTCGGCACTTCTCCTTTCTGCCACCTTGTGAAGAAGTGCCTTGCTTTCCCCTCACCTTCTGTGATGATTATAAGTTTCCCGAGGCCTGCCAACAATGCAGAACTGTGAGTCAATTAAACCTCTTTCCTTTATAAATTACCCAGTCTCAGGCCTTTCTTCATAGCAGTGTGAAAACGGACTGATAGCCTTATTGCTAATACGGAGAATATTTTAGCAGTCTGGATAGAAAATCAAAGCAGCCATAACATTCCCTTAAGCCAAAACCAAATGCAGAGCAGGGCCCTCACTCTCTTTAATTCCACAAAGGCCAAGAGAGATGGAGAAACTATAGAAGAAAAGTTGGAAGCTAGCAGCAGCTTGTTCATGAAGTTTAGCGAGAGAAGCTGCCTGTATAACATAAAAGGGCAACGTGAGGCTAATCCTGATGTAGAAGCTACAGCAAGTGTTCAGAAGATGTAGGTAAGATAATTGATGATGATGGCTACACTAAACAGCAGATTTTCAGTGTAAATGAAACAGCCTTCTGTTGGATAAAAATGCCATGTAGGACTTTTATAGATAGAGAGGAGAAACCAATGCCTGGCCTTAAAACCTCAAAGAACAAACTGACTTTTTTGTTAGGGGTTAAGACAGCTGATGACTTGAAGGGGAAACCAGTATTTATTGGCCATTACAAAAAATCCTAAGCCCTTTAAGATTTATACTAAATCTCCTCTGCCTATGTTATGTAAATGGAAGAAAAAGCCAGGATGACAGAACATCTGTTTACAGCATGGTTTGCTGAATGTTTTAAGCCTCCTCTTGAGACCAACTGCTCAAAAAAAAAAAAAAAAAGATTCCTGCCAAAATATTACTGCAGATTGACCACGTACTTAGTCACTCAAGAGCTCTGATGGAGATGTACAATGAAGTTAATGTTGTATTAGTCATGGCTGCTAATACAGCATCCATTCTGTAGTCTGTGGATTGAAGAGTAATTTCAACTTTCAAGCCATAGTATTGAAGAAATACATCTTGTGAAGCTATAGCTGCCATAAATAGTGATTCCTCTGATGGATCTGGGCAAAGGCAACTGTAAACTTTCTGAAAAGGATTCACCATTCTAGATACCGTTGAGTACATTTGTAATTAATGGGAGGAGGTCAAAATATTAACATCAATAGGAGTTTGAAATCAGTTTCTCCCATCCCTTATGGATGACTTTGACAGGTTCAAGACATCAGTGGAGGAAGTAACTGCAGATGTTGTGGCAATTGCAATAAAACTAGAATTAGAAGTGGAGCCTGAAGATGTGACTGAATTGGTACAATCTCATGAGAAAACATGAATGGATGAGGAGTTCCTTCTTATAGATGACCAAAGAAAGTGGTTACTTGAGATGGAATCTACTGACGAAGATATGGTGAACATTGTTGAAATAACAAAGGATTTAGAGTATCATGTAAACTTAATTGATAAAGCAGTGACAATGTTCGAGCATGGCCTGGAATCCTGTGGCATCCACAAAATTACCTTCAACTCCATGATGAAGTGTGATGTGGACATCTGCAAAGAACTGTATGCCAACACAGTGCTGTCTGGTGGTACCACCACGTACCCTGGCATCTCTAACAAGATGTAGAAGGAGATCACTGCCCTGGCACCCAGCACGATGAAGAACAAGATCATTGTTCTTCTCGAGCGCTAGTACTCTGTGTGGATCAGCGGCTCCTTCCTGGCCTCACTGTCCTCCTTCCAGCAGATGTGGATCAGCAGGCAGGAGTATGAAAACTTTTCTGAGCAAGTTAGATTTTGTCAATAAAGGATTTAATACAACTAAGTCACAGTCCACCTAGAAGCACTTGCAGTGGACCCTCCATCGTCCACCACAAATGCTTCTAGGTGGACTGTGACTTAGGTTTTGTCAAGACTAACTTGCTCAGAAAACAAGATGAGAGTGGCATGACTTTTTTGTTTTGTTTTGTTTTTTATTGGCTTGATTTAGGATTTAAAAACTGGAACTGTGAAGGTGACAGCAGTCAGTTGGAGCGAGCATCCCCCAAAGTTCTACAATGTGGCCGAGGATGTTGATTGTGCATTGTTCTTTTTTTAAATAGTAATTTCAAATATCGTGAAATGCATTGTTATAGGCAGTCCCTTTCCCTCCCAGAAGCCACCCCACTTCTCTCTAAGGAGAATGGCCCAGTCTTCTCCTGAGTCCACACAGTGGAGGTAATAGCATTGCTTTCGTGTAAATTTTGTAATGCAAAATTAAAAAGAAATTTTTTTAAAATCTTCACCTTAATACTTTTTAATTTTGTTTTATTTTGAAAGATTAGCCTTTGTGGCTACCCGTTATTTGTTCCTCAACTTGAGATATAAGAAAGCTTTTGGTCTTCCTGGGAGTGGGTGGGGCAGCCAGGGCTTACCTGTACACTGACTTGAGACCAGTTGAATAAAAGTGCACACATTAAAAAAAAAAAGAAGAAATCATTACAGACACCCCAACCTTCAGAAACCACAAGCCTGAGCAATCAGCAGCCATCAACATGGAGGCAAAGTGTCCACTACTGAAGATTAGAACTCTCTGAAGACTCACATGATTGTTAGCATTTTTAGCAATAAAGTATTTTTATATTAAGGTATGTACATTGTTTAGACATAATGCTATGGCACATTTAATAGGCTATAGTACAGTGTAGACATAACTTTTATATGCACTGGGAAACAAAAAAAAATTGTGTGTCTTGCCTTATTATAATATTCACTTCGTTGTAGTGTTCTGGAGTAGAACCCAGAATATCTCTGAGGTGTACCTTTATGTGCTTAGAGGACTTGCATTAGTGCCTGAGTACCATGCCTGTTGGTATAGGATATCAGACAGTGACACTAGAGTCCCAACTCATCTGGGTAGAAAGAACACCGCCACCACCCCCCAGCCAGGCTGAATCTCTTGGGCAGAGGATTAGGAGAACATTGAAATAGATACTGGAGGAGTGTTACTAATGAAGAACTGACAGTGAATGAATGGATGAGAGAAAGAGAGAGAGAGAGAGAGTGAGTGTGTGTGTGTGTGTGTGTGTGTGTGTATAGTAACTAAAGGGATGTATTTTTCATTGTAGTTGGTCCATATAAAACTACCATCTTCTCTTTCATGGTATTATTTTTACTTAAGCCTGACATATTAATTGATTAAGGCTCTATGATTCATTGATTTCATTTATCAGACATTTACGGAGTATCAGCTGTATGCCCTGCACCATGCTGAGTATTGGGGACTCACAGACACAGGAAGAATAACCATAAGCAAGATATAGACTAAGTAACCTACAGGTATAATGGTGAAGAGCCTGCTTGGTTAGGATGTTGGGGAAGTATTATGCTAAGAAATTTGTTACCTTTGTGTGGTTTTAAGGAGACTGAAGGGTCCCTGGTAAAATGAAATGAAAATGAAAAATAGCTACTTCATTTTGGGAGGTTAGAATTCTGGTTTACAGATTTATTTTTAGTCAAAGCTATAATCTTTGAGAATTGATTTTAGTGTATAGACTATGAATTGAGAATTCTAGAAGTGTAAATCAGATATAAGTGTCATGGCTGATATAAATTGAATGCTGCTATAGTGGTATCAGGGAGTTTGCATGATACCTTCGTTACCACCAGCTAGCTTCACTCTCCATTGACCTATTGATCAAAATAATGTTTCCTCAGCCACCACAATGTTAACTTGTTTGCTGTATCTCTTACTGGCCAAAAACTTTGATCCACTCTTTTGTTCCTGAAAGTATGAGCTTTTCCACATCGGTGTCATTCTGTATCTAGTATGGTTCTAATTCTCAGTTTTACATTTTCGGTTCCTAGTGATACAGAAAAGAAACAAGGTGTTTCAAACTCTGCAATGACTATTAAATAATTCTAATACTTTTTTCTCCCAGAATCCTTGACTGAAATTCCTCTTTATCCTTGATCTTAACTTTTTACATCATTGACAATAGGGACAGTCTTTACAGTAGTATAAAAACAGATAGGTAGTGTATTCTGGTAAATAATTCTGTCATGAAGTTGTTTCGTTATACCTGGTCAACCACTTTGCCCAAAGAAAGCATGTATCATGAAGTATATAAATACTTTTTTTTTTTTTTTTTTACCTTGCAGTATATCTTATCTTTTTTGTTGATTTTTGAGATGATTTAGTTAGTAGTTAAAATTTCATTATAAAACAACTCTTTGAGATAAGGTGCACTTGAAGTAACACTTATTTCTCTTAATTTTCAGGAAGTGTTTGGATTGTGAGCTATTTCAGAACTCTGTTCTCAGGACTCATTATTTTAACATTTGGGAGAAACACAACCAGAGGTATTGTCTTTTGTCTCATTGCTCCATTTTTAAAAAATGTTATCAAGCCTTTCCAATTGTAAAAAAGTAAGACTGCTATGTCACATTTTGTTGTTTATGTTTTCTTTAACTTTTAGATATTGATAAACTAGTTTGCCATTTGTCACAAAGAAGATGTTTATATTTCAGTTTTGGTAGATCAGAATTTTGTGTAAGTGAATAAAAAGTCTGGTTTAAAGAAAACCAGTTTTACCTATTGTAAACACCAAGGTATTTGCATTTTACTTTACTAGTATAGAACTATTTTAAAGAATGTATGGATTTAAAAATGAGATACATAAAATTCCTGTTTATCTAAGACAGTGTGAAGTACACATGAAATATTCAGGCAATCTTAAAATTCTTCCTGCCTGTGACAGCTCCACCTTCTAGTGTAGAGATCAGCTGCCATCTGCATTTGCATCAGTCTCTCTTCAGGTCCCATGGACAGATTCAGTGAGGCTACCTGGTTCTACCTCTGAACAACCATTTGCTAAGATCCCTCTTTGCTTTATCATTTGTGGATAGATTGGCATAGCATAATAATTTATCTGCTTGTAGACCCAGAGTGTCAGGCCATGTGACATATTACTAGGAAGGCAGATTATGTTAAAATCATCTGTTGAGAAACTTACTCACTTTATGCTTTGTCTTTTGTACCTTATCTTAGTCCATTTGAACTGCTGTAACAAATAACCGTAGATGGGAGGCTTATAAACCACAGAGGTTTATTTCCCACAGTTCTGGAGGCTGGAAAGTCTAAGACCAAGGTGCCGGCAGATTTGGTGCCTAGTAAGGGCCTGTTCTTCATAGATGGCTGACTTCTCACTGTAACCTCATATCACAGTAGACGTGGCCAGAAAACTCTTGGGACCTCTTTAAAAGGGTACTAATCCTGTTCATGAGGGCATTGCCCTCATGATCTAATCACTCCCCAAAGGCCCCACCTCCATATTACCCTCACGTTGCAAACATGGTTTCAATTTATAAATTTTGGGGATACACAACATTCAGAACATAGCATACCTCATAAACCCCTCAAGGATATACCAACCAGTTTGACTGATGTCAATGGTGAACATAGCCTTCTTGATCTATATCCAAGGCATCCTTCTTAATGTTCAACTTTATACCTCCTATGTATCTTGTGTTTTCCTTCTCAGACTTTTGCCCACTGTCTTGCTTGGAATAGAAACAGATAAAGGAAGGATACAATATGTTTAATAAAATAAGGTAGTAGTTGTTAAGGTAGTAGTGAATTGGCCATCTTCTTCTACTATAATATATAGTTAGCTTGGTGAGCTGCATATTCATGATTTATATTCGTATGAAATAACACAAAAATCAGCTTTTACGTATTTTCTTAATCACTGTCAAGCAGTGTGAATTTCTGTGTTGGTTGAATATAGTCTTTTAATAAGTCTCCCCAGCACACCGCATTGAACTTTAAAATGGAAACTTTGTATTTAGTTTAATTTGATATATACTTTATCAGTAAAATATGTGATCAGAAACTCGGGATTTTATGGAATTTAGAGTTACCTTTTCAAATTAAAGACAAGAATGAACTATTATAAACATTTCATATAAACATTCACGCTTAGCTATAAAGATGAAATATGTAATTTTAATGCTAATATGAATTATCAATTCATCAAAGTTTATTGTTTATTGTATCTCAAAGTTAAGGGTATGTTTGAATAAAGTTGTAGTTATTCTTTCTTATTAAAAAGAAACTGCACAGAAATTGAAAGTTTAGCTGAAGGATTAAATCAAAAAATTCTCATGTATATTCAAGATAGGAATTAGTTTTAAGTAATTATTTTGAAAAGAAATCATAATGCATAAGGTCCTTTTAAGAAAAAGCTTCTTACTTTTATAAAAAACCTACTGAAGTATAACTTCATGTAATCAAATAGACAGCCTTATTTGCTAGCTTGATTTTTTTTTTTTATGTAAGTATAGTCTGAGTAACTGGCACCCTACTTCAGAAGGCTTACTCTGTTTGTGTATTTTCTAGTCAATACTACCCTTATCCACCCGAAACTAGTCTTTGGCATCTTTTACTATAGATTAGTTTTGCCTGCTTTAAACTGTATAAAGTTGGAACCATATCATATGAACTCTTTTGGGTCTGATCTTTTTGGTAACATTATATCTGTAAGAGTTGTCCATGTTGTGCATGTTATTTGTTTGTTCCCTTTAAATTATCTTTATTCTGTTCTGTGATTATACCACCGTTTATCCATTCTACTGTAAATCGACATTTAGTTTTCTTTCCAGTTTGTGGCTACAAATAAGGCTGCTGTGAACGTTTTGTATCTTTTGGTAGAAATAAGCTTTCATTTCTCATTAGTACAGTATAAGCACCGGAGTGGAACTGCAGAGTGGTGGGATGTGCATGTTCGTAACTTTAGAGTAATATGCACTTAGAGTGCTTTTAAGGATGTTTAAGAAATGTCAATCAGTGTGTCTTTTGCTGATGGTAGATTCTATAATTAGATAGACTTATTATTCTTTGACTTAATGTAAACTCCAAAGTTATTTCTAAGGAGTTATTTAAATTTTTCCATCTGTTAAAAGATAAGTTACCTGCCTTCTGATTCCATTATAATATGTATTTGGCTCACAAAACCTGGGTTTGTTCTAACCCTATTGAAGGAAAATAGGACACAAAACCTTACTCTGTGCACTTATGGTTGTGTGACTCAAATACTGAAAGTGGCTTCTGAAGCAAACAGACATAACACATATTGAAGGCTTTTTTATTAGTTGAATATTTGGGCACCTCTTTGAATATTTGAAGGAATAGATATTTTGAGTTACAAAACACTTATTTCAGCATTCTTGATAAGTGTTTCTTGTGACCTTTGTGTTTTTATTACTCTGGTGATTAAACTGAAATTATTCATTCTAGCATTTATGTATTTGAGAAATGTTGTATTAATCTTTTTCCAGGTCTTTTCTATGGAGAAGTTCTGTTCACTAGAAGTATAATGTGAACTATATTATGTAACTTTAAATTTTAAATGTTAAAGTTTCTAGTAGCTATGCTATGGTTAAAAGTAACTGGTCAAATTAAGAATATATTTGATTTAACCCAGTATCTGCAAAATGTTATCCTTTTAATGAATAATCGGTATAAATTATGAGATGTTTTACATTCAAACAGAATGTAAGTGTATACTGAATTTTTGTAATCCGGGTGTGTTTTTACTCACAGCTCTCTGAATTCTGACTAGTCATCTTTTAAGTGCACAGCAGCCACATGTGTCTAGAGGTTGCTATATTAGACAGCACAGCTATGGAGTTACATTTTGGGTGTTTAAAAGACAGTGCTTTAGTCAAGTTTAAGTCTAGTTAAAATTACCCTTAAAAATCCAATAGGAAGATGCCATGTCAAATGCTGAAGTACTATCTTGAAGTAAGTTTCAAACAGCCTATTTTTCCTTCTATTTTGGAATAAATAGTATTTTCTTTGGTTGAACATCAGATAAAACAATTAGCCAGTGTTTAGGAGGCATGTTGAATGACAGATATGTATCTTTAAACTATAAAATCAAAATCTGTAACAGCAGATTCATATCTTCCATCTTACTCCAGGCTATATTATACTAGGTAGAATTTTACTTTTAGGGGAAATGCATTTTTCTTTTTTTTTTTTTTTAAAGCATGGCTAGTTTAATAGAATGGGATAAATTGCCATATGATATAATGCCACTACATTTAATAAAATAGGTCAGCTTACAGATAGTTTGTATGTGTACATATAGATGTACCTATGACTTTTCATTATGTAGAATAAAGTTTACCTAAATTTTGAGGGTTACTGTTTCTTCGTGTTTATTTTTGCCAAATGTGAAAAATCAGGACTACAAACTATCTCACATGAATGTGGGTTTGTTTTTGCCACCAAATTGGTTTTTAAAGCTTCTTGATGTTCAAAATTGGGAATGTGGATAAGGGACTATTGACCTGTGAAAACAGTCAATATGGAGACTTATTGTGGAGGGAATAGCCCTTTGAGCAATAGATAGCATAATCATACTATACCACTTGTTTTGAGTCACAGATCTGGGGTACCATAGTTGTTTTATAGCCCTACCCCCAACACATTTTTGATAATACTACCTCCACACTCTTAAATGAAATTGCTGTTCTTTTTGACACTCAATTCTTATTGGCCATTAAGAAAATAAAATTATTCCTGTGCTCAAAAGTCTTTACCTTACCTTGTGTAAAACTAAAGTCCTTGCATTAGCTGAAAAGGCATCTTCTCAGTGAAACCCTCCCTGGTGACCACACAATTCAAACTGGAAGCCTCCTCTTTTTCCTCTATCCTTTATACTGTTGTCTTTTTCCACAGCAGTGAACACTTTTAAAAATACAATGAAATTCGTGTTTCTCTTTAAATTGTGGTTTATTGTTTAATCTTTATAAAATTGAAACTCCCTGAGGGCAAGAATTTCTGTTGTGTTCATTACTGAAAAATCTGAAGAAGCGGCTGGGCACGGTGGCTCATGCCTATAATCCCAGCACTGTGGGAGGCCGAGGCGGGTGGATCACGAGGTCAATAGATCGAGACCATCCTGGTCAATGTGGTGAAACCCCATCTCTACTAAAAATACAAAAATTGGCTGAGCCTGGTGGTGCGCGCCTGTGGTCCCAGGTGCTCGGGAGGCTGAGGCAGGAGAATTGCTTGAACCCAGGAGTCGGAGGTTGCAGTGAGCCGAGATCATGCCATTGCACTCCAGCCTGGGTAGCAAG